CCTGCCCGGGAGGTGACCACGTGGCGTGGAAGACCTCTCCTGACCCACCCACTGCTCCCCTCAGCAGTGTACTTGTTGATCTGCCTGTTCTGCTCCCCGGTCTCTCTCTGGTGAATCCTCTCACCCTCCACATCTCTGCCTGTACCCCAGTTCTGTATGAATAAATAAATAAATCTTTAAAAAAAAAACTAGTTTTCTTACAGTGTCTAGTTAAAATTTTCAGGAATGATGTTCCAACATGATGTAACATTCCCCCTGTGATACTAGAAACCCAGATCACAGTACAAATCAATATATGTGAAAGCCACCATAATGAATACAAATACTAAAGACGAATTTTTCTTTATGCTAAATTATGTACTTTACATATTATCAATTCAGTACTTGTATGACGGCTACATTTAACTCAATTCTTTGGCAAACAGTGTTGTTGAAGACCAAGTATGGAATTTAAAATACAGAAACAACCTAACCATATTCTTAACAGAGTATATGTGAAAACCCAATCCATACTAAACTTACACATTTCTTAATATTAAATTAAGTCAATATAGTGGATAGCCACTACCGGCTGTTATTGAAGCACTGTTTCTTCTGTTGTTCCAAACATCAGACAATCACCATGTTAGCATTAGATGAGTGTCATAAATCAATGTGAATCGTAAATGACCCAATGAATCAAAGTGAAACAGAGGCTGAAATAAATAAAATAAAATTCTTATACAACAAGGCTCAGAAAGAAAATATATAGAAGGTAAAATCCATGTTGTGGCCTTTTGGCTTCAATATACCCCCCCCCCAACAATTATTCTAGACTTTAAAAAATCTGTTACTCCGAAAATCCAGTCTCAAAATATTATATACAGACCCTACACTTTAAACCAATGACAACCATAGCTGCACATTACAGTCACTTTGAGAAGTTTTTAAAAAATAGCAATGACTAAGACCCACTCCCAGAGATTCTCATTTCATTGTCCTGACACAAGGCCCTCCTGGCATTCCTTTTTTAAAAAACTCCTATGGTAGTTCTAATATGCAGCCAGGTAGAGAACCACTACTTTAAACTGCCTTTTGGGCAATAATTGCTTTGAGGTTGATAAACATATTTCTTTTTTGCCTTTTAATGAAGTTTTACTAAAATTATACCATCCATTCCACAGTTAATAAGGTTCTGTTACATTGCAGGCACTGTGTTAAGTAGCGGAGAAAGATGTGTAAGATATGTTCCCTGCCTTCAAGGTGCTCCCTTTTAGCTAGCAAGCTAGACCCATAAATAAGTAAATGTAATTAAATATGTTAAGCGCTCTTGAAGGTGTAAGCAAATACAGCAAGCCTAACAAACCTGCATGACATCCTTGAGCAGGTTTACACTGCATCATTCCAATTTTAGTTTAAGTCCTACCAAGGTAGGAAAGGAAGAAGTTACAGGTTATTCAATACCCTACACACAAGTGCAGTTAATTATTTGGCTTACACAAGGTGAAAATGGTATGTATTTTGCTGTTGTTTTTCACAGAAACTACTGTGCCATGAAGGTAGGTATTGCTGTTTTAATTTCAATGAATCATCTTCTAATATACTTCATGTAATACTACTGATTGTATACTTACCCTAAAACTACAAATTTACAAAAGATACAGTAAATAATCATGACATAAACAATAGCTCATTATCTTCATATATTTGCAAAATAACTTTCATTTTCAGTAACTGCTACATTTGCTAAGACAAGAAGTTTTAGAACTAGGAGAAGGTCCTATCACTAGAGGTTTGTTTCAGTCACTTGAAAGATGTTACATGAGGAAATGCTATGGAAACAAAAGGCATTCGAAGGAGCTTTTGTAAGACTTTCAAAAATGAGAAACAAGGGAAAAGAGTTTTATTAAATTTTTTAGAAAAGATGTGGTATCCCCACTCCCGCAAGGGCAAAGACTGTAGCCACTGGAAAGAAAACATTCTAAATAATGATCTTATACTTTGCAATCCCATTAACTCTATTAGTTATCTTTTTCAACTAATATAAAAATACACTGAAGGATCTAAATTAAACTAGAACTTTCAGTTATGGCTATGAAATATATAGTGGTCCATGAATGAGTGAGCAGATAAATAGTAGAGGACTGATTTTGAAAAGTAAAATTTACCTGAAAAGTACATCAATGAAAATTTAAACCTAGTGGTCAAAAACAACTTTGATACTAATAAAAGAAATAGTATAATAAAAGAAATAGTATATTTCTTTTCTATTTATACTTATATTTATAAGTATATCTCTTATATTTATGGTATAAAAGAAAACCAGTTTCTGAGAAATTGGGGCGCAATTGACAAAAGATTTTCAGTGCAAGTGAACATCTTTAATGCCTTTCTGTTTAAACCCAGAGTTGGACATATTCAAAGTTAAAATGTATGCTGTCAAGGTCCCTGCAAGAAAATCTCAAGTGAATTTCAATTTCCAGATCAATATATGCTGAGACAATTTACCGGAGAAACCTTCAACCTTTACACAGGGTGAGGAACACTATCATTACATTCTTTACTACGAAGGCTACCTTGAATTCATTATTTTGTGGAGTGACATAAATGGCACTGACCAAATCAGATTTTGCAGGATATGAATGAGATTTCACAGTTCACATTATTTAAGGTAGCCACAGAGAACTTCAAAAACAGCCTGCACTTTTCTCCTCATACAATTCTGAAGCAACAGAAGAGATGAATTTACTTCTACCAAAGGTGTTTCCTAAAAATATCCTGTCAATTATAAATTTACAGAATACGAATTGTGCTAATGCAAAGCTGACAACTTTTTAATTTCCAGAGATCACATCATCACTCTTCCAGATTTTATGGTGTCACAACTAAGTTACTAACATTGATTCAATAGTGGTGCCTATATTCCATTATCATAATAAAAATTTTAATCTCATTTTCCAACTATGATTTTGCTGGCCCATTTAAACCAAACAAAGGCACATAACAAATATCATTTACACACACACATATCATGTGGGGGACTTTTGCGAAACACCTAATTTACCTTCACTGGGTGCTAAGAATAAGAAACCAAGATTTCTGTCTCTCTAGTACTGTATACTTATATAGGGCTATTGAGTACTCGAAATGTGATTACTCAATTGAGGAACTGAATCTTGAATTGTATTAAATTTTAATTAATTTCAATTTAGAAAGACATTCAATTTAGTTATTGGAAAACTTTTAGGTATGTTTAGAACTTGGGCATGTGAACTGACTTTTGCAATGCAAATTCTGTGAAACCTAAATACAGACAACTATTTCCAATGAAAATTTAGCTCACTGTCAGAACTGAGATGTGTTGTTAGGGTAAAATACACACTGGATTTCAAAGACTGAGTATGAAAGAAAGAATGCAAAAATCTCATTAATAATTTCTGTATTCATTACATACTGAAATGTAACAGTTTGAACCTACTGGGCTAAATATTTTATTTAAATTGATTGCATTTACTTATTTTTAATTTTTATAATGTGGCTATTAGAACATTTACATATGTAAATTTCACATATGGAGAATTACATATGTGGCTCATATTATATATTTTTTGGACAGCGCTGCTGCTGCTTCCACCACCACTTTATCAGGGCACATCTGAATATCCTTCTTCTAGGAGACAAGCTGGTCTTGTAACAATAGGAACAAGGAGTAACACATCCTTGTATCAAATGGGTCTGAGGAAAGTGTGTAGCAAGCTCTACCCACAATTTCACCATGTGAGGCAACAATGTAATGCCCACAAGGAAAGGGGAAAAATGAGTTAATCAGCACTTAGACAAATTGAAATCCAGTACTGCAGACAACTTAAAAGATAAGGAGACAACTGCTCTAAGGTGTTGATTTCATTTCCCAAACGTGGACCTTTAAATTAGACAATAAATCACCGCTTCCAAAAAGAGGTAAAATATTTCAGTGTTAGCTATCTAGCTAACCTTAATAAATAAGCAAAAACTGCTCTCAAATCTTATCTCCTCAACTTCGAAAGCCACAGAATACACGCTGAACTAGGAAATCAACTTCAGATCGCCGGCATTTCCCTCCCAAGCAAATTAGCAGGATTGTGCACTTGGAATACTGTTTGACAAGAATGAAAAGGAAACTATTCAAAACAGATTTAAGGAATGGACAATTAGATGAGGAACTGCAGATTTAATTCTCAATCAGCACAGTGATTAATCTGATTCCCTGCTTTTCCCTGGTGTAATTATACTACACAGATGAAAGGATGAGCATTTGGACTGTCAGTTCTATATTCTAGACCAGCCCGGTGACTCAAAGCAGACGACTCGACCACGCTAACCACCATCCCGACAACAGTCGAAGGGAGCCTCCGAACACTGATTTAACAGCCGTTGCATAACGAGACGTTAAAAATTCGGATGCCCCCAACTCTTTCCACGATCGTCCACACCAGGTGAAGAATTTGCTGAAACTGAACGCACCCCGTCTTAAATGACCCCCTCAATCCGGGCAGGGGGTGAACACAAAGGCATCTATCTAATATCCTGCACAATAGACACACACCCCACAATTAAAAACCCTGGACGTTCTTTCTCTCTCCACGCTGGCAAAGGAAATGCAAACTGCTCTTTTCGTTAATGGTCTGTGGTACACGCAAGGTAACAATAACCTCAACTGTTCCCAGAAGCAACTATAAAATCGGTTCTGCCACGTCCCTGTGCAACCGTCAGACAAAATGCAGACAGCCGATTTCAGCCGGCCCCACGCCTCAGGGGATGGGCGACCTCGGCGGCTCGGCCTCCACCGATCGCTGAGAACCCCCCCAGACCCCCGCCCCGCAGGAGGTCCAGGTACACGTCTATAAATACTCCCGGGGAGAACCGGGGCGCGGAGGGGAGGGAGGGCAGGGGGCAGGCCCGGAGCGGGTGCGGGTGCGGGAGGACCCGGGCATCACCGAAATGCATTTTCCACACTCCCGCTCCCTCGCGTGGAGACTCACTTGCCGATCACCTCGCACAGCTCGTACACATCCTCGAACAGCACGTCGTCGTCGGCCATGGTCCGGAGGGGACAGCGGCCGCAGCGTGGAGGGCTCCGAAACGGGGGTGGGGGCGCCAAAGAGCTCAGAGCCCGGCCCCGGGCTCGCCTCCTCCCCTCAGGACTCGCGAGCCCTCGGTGCTGAGGACGCTCGAGAGGGGCTGCGAGGCCCCGAGAC